GTGAGTACCACCCCTCCCCTACATATCGTGAGTACCACCCCTACCCCAACCATGGTGAGCACCACTCCAACCCCCACACATGATGAGTACCACCCCTCCCCCACACATGGTGAGTACCACCTCTTCCCCACACATGGTGAGTACCACCCCTCCCCCACACATGGTGAGTACCACCTCTTCCCCACACATGGTGAGTACCACCTCTTCCCCACACATGGTGAGTACCACCCCTCCCCCACACATTGTGAGTGCCACCCTCTCCCCCACACAAGGTGAGTACCACCCCTCCCCCACACATTGTGAGTGCCACCCCTCCCCACACATTGTGAGTACCACCCCCCCCCACACATTGGGGAGTGCCACCCTCCCCCACACATTGTGAGTGCCACCCTCCCCCACACATGGTGAGTACCACCCCTCCCCACACATTGGGGAGTGCCACCCCTCCCCCACACATTGTGAGTGCCCCCCCCTCCCCCACACATTGTGAGTGCCACCCCTCCCCCACACATGGTGAGTACTACCCTCCCCCACACATTGGTGAGTGCCACCCTCCCCCACACATGGTGAGTACCACCCCTCCCCCACATGGTGAGTGCCACCCCTCCCCACACATTGTGAGTGCCACCCCTCCCCCACACATTGTGAGTGCCACCCTCCCCCCACACATGGTGAGTACTACCCTCCCCTCCCACACATTGGGGAGTGCCACCCCTCCCCCACTCATTGTGAGTACCACCCCTCCCCCACACATTGTGAGTGCCATCCCTCCCCCACACATTGTGAGTACCACCCCCTCCCCCACACATTGTGAGTGCCACCCCTTCCCCCACACATTGTGAGTGCCACCCCTTCCCCACACATTGTGAGTGCCACCCCTCCCCCACACATTGTGAGTGCCACCCCTCCCCCACACATTGTGAGTACCACCCTCCCCCCCCTCCCCCACACATTGTGAGTGCCACCCCTCCCCCACACATTGTGAGTACCACCCTTCCCCCACACATGGTGAGTGCCACCCTCCCCCCACACATTGTGATGCCACCCCTCCCCCACACATGGTGAGTGCCACCCCTCCCCCACACATGGTGAGTACCACCCCTCCCCCACACATTGTGAGTGCCACCTCTTCCCCACACATGGTGAGTACCACCCCTCCCCCACACATTGTGAGTGCCACCCCTCCCCCACACATGGTGTGTAGCGCGCCTCGTACTTGTACCTACCCACTGATAGTGTACACTCTCTCTTGCCTCCCAAGCACGTTTAGATAACAGGTTGTATATGTACTGATTTTGAGTGTATCTCTTCTGATGTGTATACTTTAGAGGATACCATATAAATTTACTTGGAAAGGATATATATATTATAATATATATATATATATAATATAATATATATATATATATATATAATATATATATATATATATATATATAATATATATACATCATGCGAATAGGTAAAACTGGTCGTTAGCAAGAGCTATTTAAAATTAAGTCCTATCTAAAATTTATCTCTTATAACGTTTAAAGTTTTAACTTTTTTTGATTATGTTAGAGTAAAAATTTAAAAATATGTACCGAAAGAACCTTAGAAAAATTACCTAAACCTTATAACAAGCGCATATTTTTAAATTTTGCCTAATCCAACTAATTATATTTTTAGAAAAGTTTAAAATAATTTAATAATAAACAAACACAATGAAATATATATATATATATAAATATATTAAAATAAATTTTTATATATATATATATATATATATAATTATATATATATAATATATATATATATATAGTGTGTGTGTTGTGTGTGTGTGTGTGTGTGTGTGTGTGTGTGTGTGTGTGTGCAAAACAACCACTGTGAAAGAATAGAGAAATTCCAAGCGCTTTCGCGACTACTTACATTATCAAGGAACAATAAAAGTAATGCATCAAAGGAAGGCATATAAAGGGTCTAGCCCACACCTCACTATCACATCCCACAACAAAGCATCACCTGACGCGCGACTCATGAGAAAGGGAACACTGCAGCAGGCCCGCTGGCCCAACTAGACAGGTCCTTCACACAACCCACCAACAAACTATTCTACCCAAGAATTAAGAATTTCAAAATTTATTATTTGTCCAATATATTATTAAATTCTTCCAATATTCTATTAATTATAAATAGATCTAATTTATATAAACTAAAGGAAATATTCATGTTATTGTCAAAAGCAGTTTTGACATAATATGAAGTCATTGTGAACCTAACGAGAAAAAATATATTTCATTGTGTTTGTTTATTATTAAATTATTTTAAACTTTTCTAAAATATATTTAGTTGGATTAGGCTAAATTAAATTGCGTTTGTTATAATAAGGTTAGGTAAGTTTTCTAAGGTTCTTTTGGTACATAATTATTAATTTTTACTCTAACGTAAATGAAAAAAAGTATATGTTTAAACGTATAAGAGAAAATTTTAGATAGGACTTAATTTTAAATGAGTTCTTGCTAACTGACCAGTTTTGCCTATTCGGCATGACGTATATAATATATATATATATATATATATATATATATATATATATATTATATATATATATTATATATATATATATATATATATTCCAGCTTAATTGACCAATTCGGCTCATTATGCTCGACAATATACATTTTAAGATACATAATCTCAGTATATATGACCAATTTGTATATATATATATATATTATATATATATATATATATATATATATATATATATATAACAAGCACCTCATACACAAACTCCTATAATCACGAGTTTGTCCTATAATTTGCGACAAATATAATCACCTGTGATGGTGGCACGCCATCTTTAAATTATATTTGTTATTTGTTTGTCAGGAAAAAAGAAAATGTTGTTACTATCAGGGAAAATTTGTAATTGTAAGACAGGACAAAGAAACAAACAGTTTTCACCTAGGAATTGGTTTAGATAGACTAGTAAGCAAACACTATGACCTTGATCACTTCTAACATGTTAGAAGTAATCAAGGTCCCAGGACCGAAACGTTTTCTAATAAATATGTCATAGTGTTTGCTTACGTGTCTTTCTAAACCAACTTGTCGGTATTTATTACCAAGGTTTATACCACGTAAGGAATTAAACACTAGGAAAATAGGAGGTGATGCTGCACTTTGATCCGAGGAATTGGAGGGTGCGCTCTCATGTACTTGGATTAAGATCCATTCCTCAGAATCTAGGCTGATGATGCGTTTATCTGTTGTCTGTTAGAACTGTGAGTTTCCTTGCGGCAGCTTAGGCACCTCTGTTGTTCCCGTTGATCTCACTGTTAGATTTATGCTAGTATAGGTACCATCGTTGTTCCTGTTGATCTTACTGTTAGATTATTTAAGTTTAGGTACCTCTGTTGTTCCTGTTTGATCTTACTGTTAGATTATTTAAGTTTAGATACCTTTGTTGTTCCTGTTGATCTTACTGTTAGATTCTTTATTTAGGTTTATGTACCTCTGTTGTTCGCGTTGATCTGTTAGATTATTTAAGTTTAAGCACTTCTGTTCCTGTTGATTTCACTGTTAGAATCCTTGGTAGGTAAGACATAGGCAACAGTTAGGCAACTTTATTCCGAAACGTTTCGCCTACACAGTAGGCTTCTTCAGTCGAATACAGAAAGCAGGCAGGAACAGTAGAGATGTGAAGACGATGTAATCAGTCCATCACCCTTGTAGTCGTAGATTTGAGGTTGTCAGTCCCTCAGCCTGGAGAGGTTCAGTTCCATAGTTCCTGACTATATGGAGACCAGAACTGAGCTGCATAATCTAGGTGAGTTTATCTGGAGAGAGTTCCGGGGGTCAACGCCCCCGCGGCCCGGTCTGTGACCAGGCCTCCTTAGGTCAGTGTCCCAGGATGCGACCCACACCAGTCGACTAACACCCAAGTACCCATTTTACTGATGGGGAACATAGACAACAGGTGGAAAGAAACACGTCCAATGTTTCTACTCTGGCTGGGAATCGAACCCAGACCCTCGTCGTGTGAAGCGAGAGCGTTAACCACCAGGCCACCAGAGCCTGTACTAATGATGTATAAAGCTCAAGTATAACCGTGGAAATAAATGGTATAAAATACCGACACAATGGAAATATAAACACATATGCAGTATAATGTGATCCTTAATTAACAACGTTTCGCCCACACAGTGGCCTTTTTTCCATTCCACCCCAGGTAGATCTGTTTGTGACTTGAAAAAGCCCACTGTGTGGGCGAAACGTTGTCAATAAAAGATCACATTATACAGCATATGTGTTTATATTTCCACTTAAGTATAACCGCTGGACTTCTGTTGCTTACACTTCTTGATATAAATCCCAGCAATCTATTTGCCTTATTACGCACGCTTAGGCATTGCTGTCTTGGTTTAAGGTTGCTGCTTACCATAACCCCCAAATCCTTCTCGCATTCTATACGGCTAAGTTCAACATTATTAAGCTGGTAGGTGCTAGGGTTATGAACATTTCCGAGCTTTAGAACTTTGCATTTATCTACATTGAACTGCATCTGCCACTTTTCTGACCACGAATTGAGTTTTTTTAAATCCTGAAGTTGTGAGACATCAAAGTCTGAATCGATTATCCTACCTATCTTCGTGTCATCAGCAAATTTGCTTATGTCACTAGTAATTCCCTCGTCAAGGTCGTTTATATATATTATATATATATAATTTTATATATATATTAATATATATATATATATTATATATATTATATTATATATATATTATAATTATATATTATATATATTTACCAAGGTTTATACCATATATATAATAAACAACAATGGGGCTAAAACTGATCCCTGCGGAACGCCACTTGTTACAGATCCCCACTCGGATTTAACCCCATTTATGCACACTCTCTGCTTCCTATTAGTGAGCCATGACTCGATCCATGACAGCATTTTTCCCCCAATGCCATGAGCAGCCACTTTCTTCAAAAGTCTCTGATGTGGTACT